CTATTCTATTCTATTCTATTCTATTCTATTCTATTCTATTCTATTCTGTTCTATATTCTATTCTATTCTATTCCATTCCATTCTATTTGTGAAGGATTCTGGATTTGGAGCATATCTGCTCATTACAAAGATCTCTCGATAGGGCAAATGATCATTATATTAGATCAAGGTGAATGAACCTAACAAGAGAGAAGGCAAAACATCATCATCACTAATACCTGTGAACTGTGTGTGTATGTGTGTATGCTTCTGCATGCACACGTGCGTGTCTTCAGGTCAATGTTGATTCCTGGTAACTGGCTGGAAACATCCATGCATTCTGGCAAGGTTTTTCAGTTGTGGTTTGCCATTGCATCATTCCCAGGGCTGACAGAGAATGATTGACCCCCTGGTGACCCATCTGGCTTTGTGGCTAAGGTGGGACTTAGAACTCAGTCTGTCATGCTATCAGAGATAACTAGAGTTGAAAACTAGAGTGCAGGGAAAAAATATGATCTCATTTCTACTTCTGACACACTGTTTTATCTGAAGGGAAGAATACACTTTTGCAATAGTATTCAGAGCAATTAGGTGGCTATCAATTTTATGTACAAAGCTTGAGGCTATAAAAGTGAAGCTGTTTTTCACTGTGTTTCATCAATAGTTTAAATGAACTAGGAAAAAAATTCTGTCTCAATCAATTTCTATGAATCCTTAGATACACCCCAAGGCAGTATAATAAAGTTGGTTTATCATTTCTCTAAAATATTCCATTCTTTCTAACAAAACAGAACATGAAATGGAAATTTATCCCTCTGTTCTAAAAATAAATAGATCAATGTCAAACACACATCTTACTGTTTTAATTTAAATGCAAGCCAAACAAGAATTACCTAGTCTCTAACTAACTATTGAGTCTATTTTATTTATTGATTTGTGATATTTATATCCAGGTTTTCTCCATCAGTTTCCCAGTCATATGCAGCACTCCCTTTTCCTGTTTTCATCCCACTCTAAAATTGGTTAAGAGTTACACGCTCTACTTCCTAAAGAATACGAAGAATACAAAAGGTTACTAAGCACCCAAAATACTGAGGCAAAGGTTTTTTATTTTATTTTATTGCTTTGCTCTCTTCTCCCACAGAGAAATGTGAAAATATGGTTGTTTACCACAATGCGAACCCTTTTAGGTTCTTATATCCCTGAACCAATGCAATTTTTGTCACCACTGGCCACTTAGAACAATATTTTATCTTACCTTTCTCGCCTCGTTTTTTCTTAGTCCTGTCAATGTGGTCTTTGAGCTGGATGCGAACTTGCCTTTCATTTGGCTGATCTCGAATAAATGGGTGCTTCATCAGCTGTTCAGTGCTTGGCCTCTGGCCATGGTTTTTCACCAGACAGCTTTCAATGAAGGACTGGAATTTTTTGGACCTATCAAATCAGAGAATTGGGGATAGATGTGCAGGAAAAGGTTAGGTTAATAACGGTATTTATGAGTCAGGGTTTTGCCAGTCTTGGAGAATATTAAAAGGATTGTCCCTATAAGACCACCATATATTCTGTGAACATGTTAGTGTCAATCCTGACGCGAACCTGGCTGAGGCCATCTTTGAGGCTTCAGAGTTGCCACTAGATGGGAGAGAGAGGGGAATAGTTAACTGGGGTTTTGCAGTCAAAACAAAAGGTTTTCCTGTGGGACTCAAGGTCATTCCAACAGGTAGCTGGGAGATGAGGAGCAAAGCAACCAAGTAACTGGCCAGCACTTCTATTGGACCATGTGATTGATGACTCAGGGAAAGGGGAAAACTTTCTTTTTTAGTTAGGTGAAAACCGTGGGGACTTTCAGAATCAGTTTTCACCAGTTATGCCAATGTGATATATCCAATAAATTGTTATTTGAAGAATTTACCAGCCTCAGAGTTCTGCTTTCAATAGGTGTATTACTTGGAATGTTGACAGTTAGGTCAGCAAGTTGGTGAACCCTCCAATCTTTTATCAAATTAGCTGAGAATTAAGTGGGTTCTTAGAATTATATTTTTGATATCCTGCTGAAGAACCTGGGGTAAATTATTTTATTTTTCAAGACTTTTTGGGCTTTTCTTACTGCCTTGAGGAAGACCCATCAAATTCAATAAACTTTTGTAATTATATACAGGATCATTCTGTAACTCCAATAGAATGAAAGGGAGTAAGAAGGATAAAAGAGCAAGGAATTAATATTTTTATATATTTTATTTATAAATGGACAATTAGAGATAATACCAATGACAGAAACAATTAGCAAATTCAGCTGCTACTAATGCAGGAAGTCTAAAAATATCCCATGTGTTTCAATAGAAATCAAAGAGACAATGCTCTAGAAAGTTGCTGCCTTGCTTGGATGCATGCATGAATATGTGTAAATGGAAAAACAGGGCAACAATATTTTCTGCTGAAATTGTCAATGAACTGGAAAGATAGGTGAGTATAATGCTTTGCCATCATATTTTCTAATGATGAATTCCACTTCAATCTACAAACAATATATTCAATTTAGGTTTGGCTTATCTCCAAGAGCCTTGTAAAAATTCAATCGTAAAAATTTATAAATTGTGGCTTTGTTCATTTTCCAATGTTTTATCCCCTATTTGGATACCATTGACAGTGCCAGGTAATTTCCTACATTTTGTGAAACAGGAAATAAATATTCAGATGATCTCTAAAGAACTTTTTTCTGTTTTCTACTGAACATCACGATTTAAGATAATTTTAAACAGTAGCAGAAGTTACCTTGCTTAATCACATTGCATTTTAAAAAAATGGTTTAAATATGAATTATTTTGCATACCACTAATTACTAGTGTTCTGAAATAATTAATAATATGCGTTTTACCAGAACTATCTTGTTCTTTTGTTACTCAGTTGGCTAACAAAAGAACAAGATAGTTCCAGTAAAACTCAACATTATAACTCAGTATTATCTAAGCTAGTTTGCTATGACTCTCCCCCCCCCCCCCCCCCCCCCAGTTTTTGTAGTCTTCTTTGAAGTTCATCATCATCGTTTTCTTTTAACAACCCCATAATCCCTTGTTTGGTGGAGTTTGGGCAACTGAATGGAGCTAGCAGAGTGTTTAATGGCCAGATGCCCTTCCTGTCACTAATGCGAAGTTTTGTTCAGCAGATATAATCTCATTGTGCCCAAAGAGAGAAATATCTGCCTCTACCTAGAATTGAACTCACAGCTTCCTGATTGTGAGGCAAGAACATGCATACCATATACTGAAGGCATTTTTTTTTATTCATAGATCTTACACTGTGTCTCACTGATATGTAACAAAAACCTCAAACCTAAATTTCAGACTATTTGGAGAGACTGTTTGAAAAACAAAGGAAAAAGTGCAAAAATGGATTCTCCTGTGCCTGTTGCCATACAGCCCTAGCTGCTAAAACCTGTTCAAACACAGGGGAATATATTTTCAGGAGACCAAAATAATTTAATCGAGTTCAACCTTGCCAATCAAAAAACAGCTCAAGAGGCATCAGATCGCTTACCCCATTGCTTTGGATAAAGCAAACGTTTTGTGCAAACTCTGCAGACCCTTAAAAAAGCAAGCCCAGGATGCTGAATGCGTTTTAATCCTCACTTTTTACAAGAGGCTTTCGTGAGTATCAATAGCTTGGGAAGAAATGGCTTCTCCATGTTGAACAGAGACGGACATTGGATGACTGCAGCTCTGTGGCAGCTGACCCCTAAGAGACCCAGTTGCTGCTGGATTATCTTTTAAACGATTCTTACATATACTCCATATGATAAACAGCTTCAACTTTTATAATGGTTGACTATATGTAATGGATACATTTCTGAATGCAAAAACAAAAGAATGGAATTCCTGACACCAATCTGCTTTTGCGTAGCAGCTGTCATCAAACGATAATCCACAGGCTCAAATAAAAATCTGAATGTACTATCCACTGAGAGAAAAAGAGTGTCTGGTATTTTAAGCCATCAAGTTAGCAAAGAATGCTGCTTATCAACAAGACTTAGTGTATCACTCTGGAGCAGATACTTCCTCTAAGCATAATTACAAGGGTGTGTAGGTAAATAACACCATTAATAAAGGGTGTGAACCAGGCTTTGGAATAAGAATGCTAAGAAGGCTTTGGAGTAAGAATGCTAAGAAGTAAGTACATTTACTTCTAGCAAAACGTCTTCTCGTGGTAAATGCATTTATCTTTGAGAAGGGGTGTTGTAAAAAATTACAAGTACAGGTAATCTTCGACTTACAACAGTTCGTTTAGCAACTGTTCAAAGTTACAACGGCACTGAATAAAGTGACCTATGACCATTTTTCACACTTATGACCATTGCAGCCTCCCCATGGTTACATGATCAAAATTCACTTGGCAACCGACTCATATTTATGACGGTTTCATAGTCCCCGGGGGGTCATTTGATCCCCTTTTGCTACCTCCTTACAGGCAAAGTCAATGGGGAAGCCAGATTCATTTAACAACTGTATTACCAATTTAATAACTGCAGTGATCCACTTAGCAACTGTGGCAGTAAAGGTCTTTAAACAGGGCAACATTCACTTAACTGTTTTGCTTAGCAGCAGAAATTTTGGGCTTAATTGGGGTTGTAAGTCAAGAACTACTTGTATAATTTGTTAAAACCAATTTGATCTTCTTTTTCAGATGATAGTGCTTTGATTTATCCCATTTCCTCTACTTCCAAGTGTTATCCCAAAAGCAGCGAGCTACCTAATAAGGCCAAAGGAATGCTAGCTGAGATTTATGGGATCTGAAATTCAGTATACTTGGAGGGCATTTGTTACCCCGGGCAGCAGCTGTCTGCCCGAATTGTATTTCTTTTCAACCACTAGGAGGGGCTTTTGCAAAGTCAATGGGGAAGCCAGATTCATTTAACAACTGTACTACCAATTTAATAACTGCAATGATTCACTTAATAACTGGGACAAAATTCACTGAACAAATGTTTCACTTAGCAACAGAAATATTGGGCTCAATTGTGGTTGTAAGTCGAGGACTATCTGTTACTGCAAGGAACTTTGTGAGAGGCTGCAGCTATGAATTTCCTCCATGTGCCATGTTGCTTTCACAGGCTGTTAAATCCAACTCCTGTTCAGTGCAGGACATTATCTACTAATCCTCAACCCACCACAGGATCCCTTCTCAGTGAACATTGGGCACTGTTGCAACTGTAGTTCAGACAGAATTACCATCAATTATCAAATTGGCTGAGATAGTTTTGTGTGTGTGTGTGTGTGGTGTGTGTGTGTGTGTGTGTGTGAGTGTGTGAGTGTGTGTGTATGCATGGAAATAAATTGAATTTGAATTAATGTTGACAAGATGTTCCTGCACCAATCTTTCTGATCTCTTCCTGATGGATTGGGATTTACAACTCCCAGGAATGCAGCTGACTGGGAATGCAGGCAACTGTACTTGCAAGCAGGATATATATTCAACATTAGCCAAATCCTTTTTGCAATTTTATCTTACAAATACAGCATGTTTCCACTTTTATAGCACATAGATAACTTTTAAATTACAAGCACAGGGGACCTGTGATACCTTCTCCCACATATTACCGAATGAAATAACTGCACTGTATCCAATTCCTTCGTTACCAAATTCAGGAAGCCACGTGATAACAATTTTCAGGAGTAGAAAAATGTCAGGGGAACTTTGTTAGAGGAAATAGGAAAAAAAATGTAAAAGAAAATTCAGATAGGTGTTTTCCATAAGTCGAATTCGCCATGCTGCAAGAATTTTCTCCGAACCACAAAACCTGTTTATGTCAGTATTTTCAAAAGAACATGATTAATAAACAGGCTGCACCTTCTGTACCAAAACTGTGTGTGGATTTTAATTTCAACTTTTACTTCATCCCCAACTTGGCCCTCCCTTCTTATCTTCTTCTTGGGTAAATCTGTTTACCCAGATTTGTTTAAAGCCAATTTGTTTGGCTTTAAATAGTTGTCCATCTCAAATACAAGACACTGGGTGGCTTACAATAAACAATAGCATTCCTGACCTACTAGCAAAGTAGGAGAGATGGATTATCGAAGATATAGAGCTGTGTTTATCTGGCATTCCCAGCTGTCCAGCTTGTGGACAGACTACTTTGCATAGCCAGATTATCTCCCTTGTTTTTTCTATTTCTGCTAGCAGCAGGAGTTACACAGGGTCACTGCAGCAGGCCTTCTGTCACTACTACATCATGTTCATCAGTAATTCAGAGTGATAAGTCATCAGTATCTTTCTCAAGTATCCAATGGTTTTTGGAAAAGTTATGTCTAAATGCAAAGTTTTTCTTTTCTTGCATAAAATAGTGTGAAATATTTTCGGCTTAACTGAGATATTCAATAGAAGAAAATATACAGGGCTCCAACTGTAGAGTCCTTTGGTGCTAACAGAGAAACTGAATTGAAAGGACTTTCGAGGTCTTAGTGTAGTTAGTTTACTTTATTGTCATTGTACCTCGTACAATGAAATTAAGTACCATCTTCAGTGTACATTGTGATTATGAAAATAAACTCAAGCACACATCCTTCACAGTCTATACATTGAATGGAAAACCCCTGATATTGCATTAATATTGCACTATACAGTAGAATTCAGTAGAGTTACTGTCCTGGGATAGAAGCTGTTTCTCAGTCTATTTGACCTTGTTTTTATTATCCTGTATCATCTGCCACATGGTAATAGTTCAAAAGAAAAGGGTGCCCAGGATGAGATAGATCTTTGAAATAACTTTCTTAAGGCCGCGGGAGCTATAAAGCTCTTCCAAAGAGAGGAGAGGACAACCAATGATCTTCTGGGCAATGACATTAACCCTCTGGAGTGCTTCTACTCCAATCTCCTGTTCAGGCAGGAAACCCTATACTATTTAAGACTATTTAAGGTTGTCCAATCTCTTGTTCAAAACTTCCAGTGTTGGAGCACCCACAATGTCTGGAGGAAAGTTGTTCCACCGATTAATTGTTCTCTCAGGAAATTTCTCCTTAGTTCTAGGTTGGTTCTCTCCTAGAGTATTTTCCATCCATTGCTTCTTGTCCTGCCTTCAGGTGCTTTGGAGAATAGTTGATCCCCTATTCTCTGCGGCAGCCCCTGAGATATTGGAATGCTGCTATTAAGACCACTTCTGGACTTTACAACAGGTTCTCCAAACAAACTACAATTGTTAAATGTTGCTTTCTTCTCTATCATGAAAGCTTGAAAATTAAATGTGGAAGGCTAACAAGAAGGTGGCTGCAAAGTGGTTTAAAAAGTCAAGATGGCAGCAATGAAAGTGCAATAGAAGTTTCGTTTTTAATGTATGTCAGAGATGCAATACATATAAAAATGATGCCATCTGCTTTCTGACTTACGTATTTAATTCCATGTAGGCATCACCCAACTCTAAAATGACTTTTTAAAATCGTACCATGTAGCTCCCCCATGGCAACAAGGAGCAGAAATCTAAACAGGTTCTATATCTAGTGAGATTCAGAACATGATCAAAATTAGAGCCATGCAAAACTTCAGTTTGAAGATTTCATTATAAAGTAATTTGATCAAACAACTCTCTTTGAATCAAATTGCCAAAATAAGATGATATGTCAAATAGAATCAGTTGCTTTCAAAACTATTTGAAGATTTAGTGGACTCCACGAGTACAAAAATACATTTTTGTCCAATCAAAACTTTGCACTGAAACTAATCAATTTGATTTGAATTGCAAACTCAGATTGAATCACACATTCAAGAGTACCTTGAGAGATTTATAACCCCTAATTAATATATGTATGTAAACATATGACTAAGAGTCTATTTTTCTTTAGTGTCAAAGTGAAGAAGCACAGCAGGCCTCAATAGGTAATGAAAAGATATGGATTTTATTGATGAACTGGCAGTCACCAAGCAAAGGGTGGATATGGATTAGGACCACATTGATTGATTAATTATCCTGCCTTTATTAATTTTTATAAATAACTCAAGGCAGCAAGCATATTACCTCTTCCTCCTCTTCCTATATTTCCCCACAACAACAACCCTATGAAGTGAGTTGGGCTGAAAGAGAATGTCCAGCTTAAGGTCATCCAGCTGGCTTTCATGCCTAAGTCAAGACTAGAATTCACAATAGCCTAACTTCTAGTCTGGTGCCTTAACCACTGGACCAAAATTTGGACCTGCCTTTTGCCTGATAAACCTATCAGTGCTCAGAAATCTATGACAATTGTTTGGATTGTCAATATGGAAAAGTTTAGACTCACACAAGATATTCAAATTCTTGTAGATACACCCACATTGTCCCAGACTGAACAAGAAGCATTTCATTGCTGCAGTTGATAAAGAGGAAGTAAAGTATAATAGCTTCTTGCAGCACGCACATAGGGAGAGTAGAAAAATATACACTCACCACTTCTTTGATTTCAGCCTGGGGGCTGGGTTTCGGGGAATGAGAAACAAGGCTCTCATAGGATGCATATCACAAAGGGCTGAAAAACCAAAGAGAGAGAGAGAGAGAGAGAGAGAAAGAGAGAGAGAGAGAGAAAGGCATGAAACATATTGTCGTGTAAGGGCAAAAAGAGAACATTCTCGTAAAGACATTGAATTCTAGGATAAAATTCTCATGTGATGTAGGAAGATAAATTTAGTGACTAGGTTTACAGATCCTACTTGGTCATAAGATAAGTGAGGTTATCTCTGAGGCTCTGATGCATAGTTTGACCGAGGCCTTAATCATAGCTTATTTGTTGTTTAGAATGAAAAAAGGGCTTTGATCAGATTGCTTCTATATGGACTCTCTCTGTTTGTGGAGTCTAGTGGTCTTCCCATTTTTCAGAGGATCTCTGAATGATAAAGCAGCAGAAGGATGTCTAGAAAGCCACTGAAAAAAGATGAATAATGCTTCTGAGTACAGGTATGTGTCCTTCTTAAGGACTAACTTGTGACAGTACAAGAGGTAAAATATAACAATTTAACTGCTTTTACTGAGTCCACTGAATGCCCCCTAATGCTTTCCTCAGGACAATCTGGTCACCCCTGGATAAGGAGAAGCTGGAAAAGTCAGAGAAATCATTCAGGTTTCCGGGAAGTTGGAATCTGCCTATGCAATTCCAATGGCGCTGATTGAGACACGGTTGTAACTTGGTTACCTTAGATGAGTTTGAACATGTTAGTTCTAAGGAAGTGGACAAGGTCCTTCAGGCGATCGGTGTGACCACTTGTACTTCAGATTCATGTTCTTCCTAGTTGTTTAGAACCTCAGGGGAAGGTTTCCATGGTTGGATTCACACTGTGGTAAATACATCTTCAAAGGAGTAGATAGTTCCACTGGCTCTTAAGGATGTGGTGATCCTCCCCCTCTTTAAGAAGTTATTGCAGGATCCAACAAAGCTGCACAATTTTCATCCTGTCTCCAACTGTCCCTTTTTAGGGAAGGTTATTGAGTAAGTGATCATCTGCTCGAAAGGGCCAGAGGAAATGGATTATCTGGAATCCTTTTAATCTGGGTTCCAGCCAAAACAACATTGGTTGCACCTATGACAGTTTCAAGCTGGAGGGAGTACATCCATCTCTCCTCCATCTTCCCCTCCCCCATGAATTTCAATTGGCCCCGAATCTATTACTTTTTAGGAAGATTTTAAAAGCTTGGGTTTTGGGTAGAATAGAAGAGCCTTTGTCTTTGAGAAATGTATGTTGATAAACCTGTATGTAGTAGGAATTGTCAATTTTGGGCATTTTTGTTGACATCGCTGGCTTTAATTTCAGTTTTTGTTTGACTTTATTAATGTACACCACCTAGAATCATGCTCATACAAGTTGGGCGGTCATATAAATTTTGTAAACAAACAATCAAAATGCTTTGCTTGTTTATCGCTTAGCACATTGTATACATCTGGCATCTGAGGTTTTCTGACCCACAAAGTCTCAGTGTGTTGGGTGATCCCTGCCTATTGTGGTTTATTCAACAAAGAATGCTTTAATTATAGCTTAGGGTGCTATGGGAAGCCAACCTATCAATTTGTGTCTTAATACTTTCTAAGGTAGGTAATTCTTCCCCTAGTCAGATGCCACTGCTGTTGGTTTTTCTATATAGTTAAAGAGAAGCTCTGCTTAGAATCATGAAGTTGAAAAGGGTTATTTAGGTCACTGAATCCAATTCCCTGCTCAGTACAGGAATTTAAGCATCCCCAACAGCTGGCTGCCAAGTTTATGATTCCAGTAATTCCCTAGGTAACCACTTTCAAACTGCTCTGTTAGAAGCTTTTTATTAACATTCAGCTGGAATCTGACATAAGTCCATTATTCTGTATGCTACCCTCCAAGACAACAGAAAACCACAACCTTCTTCAATGTTGACACTCCATTAGATACTTGAAGAGGACTATCCTCTCTTTCATTCCCCGTGGTCTTCTGTTCTCAAGATTCAACAAGAGTTGAATTTTAATTTTTGATAATGGAAATGTTTTAACAGATGCAGCATTTATGTTTTCTACTTTTAATGTCATTTTTATTATTAAATTCTTGTTATGCAAAGTTAACATTGATTTAAATGTCATGTCTCTAGCCATCCACAATTTCATGTCAGGGATAAAATTCTAACTAAGTATTTCTCAGTAATTCTTTCAGTTGCTTTGTTATATCAGCCATATGGATAGCTCCATGTGTATACAAACTATAGGAGATAGAACTAATAATTAAAGGAAAGTTTAATATGACAGAAAGGAGAATGGAAAGAAATTAAGCTCATCTCCTGGTGCATATTTATTATTATGGTCCAGTTGGTATAAGACTATCAATAAATCTAGCCAAAAAATCAATGTATTATGGTTTGTTGCACAGATAGCCAGATGTTCAGACTGGACCTGGCATTTTTATCCACCTATTGAATCCTTCCCAGGGACTGGAGATGTGAATGTTTGATGGTGCCAGAGATATCATTGCAGAATTAAGTTAAATATTGCATTTCTCAGAAGGTTGAAAGGGGCAGGAAGCTGCATTACCATTGTTATTATTTTGGTCTCTCACTCAGTTAGCCAGTTGTGCAAACAGGATTTGGCATTCTTATTCAGCTATGGAGTCCTTCTCAAGGATCTGGGATAGGCAGATGTGGATGTTTGATATTACAGATCAAAGGATGTAAGCTGTTCTGAGTAAAGGCCGCCTTTTGCAATTGACCGATGGTGAATTTGTCAATTCTGATAGTGTTCAAGTGGTGCTCTAGTTCAGAGGTGTCAAACTCAAGGCCTGCGGGCTGGATCCAGCCCATGGGGTGTTTAGATCTGGCCTGTGGGGCCATCGTGAAAACAATAAAGGACCAGCCTGCAGTGCCTCTGCCAGTGAAATTGTAGCTCGGGAGGGCCGCATGCGGCTCTCTTGAGCTCCACATGCGACCCTCCTGAGCTCTATTTTTGCTGGCAGTGGGTTGCAGGAGGCCATCGCAGCTGAAAACAGAGCTCGGGAGCCTATTTTTGCTGGCAGAGCATTCAGGCCACCACAGGCGCCCCTGACACAAGTGATGTTGAGCTGTCACATCCACCCTGGCCATGCTCACCTCAGTTCCTTGAGGTCAAACACAACCCTGATGCAGCCCTCAATGAAATCAAGTTTGACATCGCTGCTCTAGCTATTTGGGGATTTCACCCATTGGTACAACCTTTGCCACAGTCATTCTATTTCTATTTATTTTGTTATCTTCTCCAGTTCTTCTTCTTCTCTTCTGCTGTCTCCAGGTACTGCTATCCAGACTTACTTTTTCTTTTGTATTGACAGTTGTTACTTTGTCTTTTGTATTGATGGTTGGGGTGTTACATGGGAAGTGCCTGTCTCTTATTATTATTTATCAAATTTATTTGCCATCCATCCATGGTTTGAAGCAACTCTGAGAGGAGTCATATCATGACAATCATGTCTATTATATGTGTGCTTTGAGTCTACATAAAAGCCAGACATTTGTTCCTGAATTCATCACTTTATTCAACAAATCTTTACTTAGGGAATATTTACACATAGCATATTACAGCGAATTGGAATTTCTACCACTGCATAATGAATTTTAATACGCAGCAATCCAAACTATGATAAAACATAAAATTCAAATATACTCACGGGGAGCTCCTTCTGCCATTTCGATGGCTGTTATCCCTAAAGACCACAAATCACTCTGAAAGAAATAACCAAGAGTACAAAACTTTCAATGATGTACAACATATGAGAGTTACTACTATATAGGAAGGACTTTTGGGTACCTTAGTTCTGTAAGTTTCCTCAAAAATAGTCTGAATAAGTTCTGGATCTTTTGATTCCTCAAATTCACTTGGGCCTTTCATAAACCCATTTTATCTTCTTTCCAATGTCAGAGAGGAGCACCCCATAAATTAAGAGAAACCCAAACCAAAATACTGTGCTATTTTAGTACACTGAAGCTGTATAATCCAATGCAATTCTCTGTCAATAAGAACTAAATATTCGAAAAAATAATAATTTTGCAAGAGTAAAATACTACCCCTGTTTTTCTTATTTCTCCAAATACTTTTAAACTCTTAATCTTACCTTCCCTAATTTGGACAACTTTCAGACTTATAGCTTTACAAACACACACACACACACACGCACACACGCACGCACACGCACACACAGAGCTCTATTATTCAAAGTATAACAATGGAGTAAGATATAATAAGTAAAAAAAAATGATGCAGAAATTAAAAGGAAAGAAAATTAAACTAAATCTAGTTTTCACGAATACTATTTACAGTACTATATCTTTCTACATCTTTCTGACCTTATAAACCATCCTTACTTCTTCCATCATAATAAAACTTTCTTAAGTATTATCTATACTCTCAATCTATTTGCTCTTCCTTTGTATATTTGTTTTGTGATTTAAAACTTATTATCTCAAGATGTTTATTTTCAAATAGTATTCAACCTACATGTATTTGTCTACATTTGATTCTTGTTCCAATCTTTTTTTTTTTGCCTTATATGTCATACAATTCTTAGTAAATTCATTCCTACTGCAAACAATTGCCTTTTATGTTTCTTCAATCATACCAAACTCTTATATTATATGAATCATTATATGTGGATATTAGTCCCTAGAATTGTAGAAATGGTTATTATTGGGAAATGAAGACTACATTTGTTGAAGCTCAGTCACTGACGTGTAATCTTTGGGAGAAGAAAAAGAACTATCTCAATGGGAAATTGCAAGAATAATAAGATATGGAAAACTTCTGATTGCTAATCATTGAAAGGCCTTTGTAGGTCTTCAAGAAACTGCTTTTGAGAAAAATGGGTTTTTGAGAAACTAATCACGAAAATAACAAGTATTTAATCAAGTTCAACCTTCTTCAAAGCACAACAGACAAATTTCTGCAAAAATACTACTAAGAAATCTTAAATCTGACATTTGGTAAAAGCAATGAAAATTGATTTCAAGGCACTTGTAAAACTGAAAAACTGCCTTAGAAAACAGACATAGGCATTTTGGTTTCTACCTAATGAACCATGTATATATTGCATTAAGAATATCTTCTGAATTGTGAGTCTAAGTCTACACTACAGATCATAGATGGCATGTCCTTGGGAGACACAGCCAAAAGATGTCATCTCAGATAAGAGACTATATATAGCCCTATATAACAACTAGATGGTGGCCAGGGCAAGAAGCTTAGAAGAGACCCTCCCTAGCTTCTCAGGCTGTAAAGGAGACAGTGGGAGATTTGTACTTTCAGACTTCCATGATCCCATTAATATAGCTTTACAATAAAGTAGAATTAGCTCATCTAGTCATGTTTCCTATCTGGTCTGCCTAGTAAGGTTGACACTCTGTCTTGGAATACAAATATTTCTTCTATTTAATATTTTTGGTCTGTTCCAGTCTGTTTTTTTAGCATTATAGTTGTTTTATTATTTTGCATTCTTACTTTAAATTACCTGAGTCAACTTTATAGAAATACTTTCCTTTCCACTCTTGTCTAATGCTGATTCTTCTCTTTCTACCTTTCTCCTTTTTGTTCATTTAGCTTCTTCTACTAGTTCCTGCCTGCTGTTTTCTTTCTTTTTTTACTTCATTCCTGAGTGCCCTTTGCAAACCCTACTGTTATGAACTAATAAAAACTATTTAATAAAAACTTGTCAACCTTACGAGAAAAGCAGGCTTGTAAGCCTGCACCTTTGATTGGCCCATGAATAACGAGCAGGAATTGGTCCTTACAGAGCAGCCTGATTGGCTATTAGTTAACATCTCTCATTGGGTACAATTTAAATGCGGGAACGCAATCCATTGGTTAACGGGTCAGCAGCCAGCTCTATAAAAGAGCTGCTGCTGCCCAGGGTTTTTGCTCTGTTCTTATTCATAAATAAAGAGTTGAAGTTCACTAGTTCTCTGCCTCGTCCGTTCCTTGCGCCCATGCTCAGTATTTAACACTGGCGACGAGGGTGGGATGCGGAGACAACAGAGCTGACTGAACATTACAGAGCGCCAAACAGAGCACGTGGCTGAAAGCGCACCAACAACGGCAATATGGCCAGCGGTGCTATACCACCCGCTCCATTTGACCCGGCAAATGAAGACTGGGACTCGTATATGGATCGGTTCCAGATGTTTCTGGAGACCAATAACTTAAAGGACGCTGCAACTGGAAAAAAGCGAGCAATATTCCTGACCCATTGCGGGCCTGCCGTATTTAAGATGGCAAAATCACTTGCAAAACCGGCTGAGGTGAAATCGATGGATTGGGACACCCTCGCGCCCCTCCTACGGGCCCACTATGCACCCGCAGTGCCAACACTTGTCCGTAGGCACAAATTTTACCAGAGGGACCAACGGAAAAGCGAAAGTCTTGCAGACTTCATCGCTGACCTCCGGAACTTGGGTGGCCTCTGTGGGTTTTCCAACCTCGAAGAAGCTTTGCGAGACCGCATAGTTCTGGGATTAGATGACCAGACGGTGCAGAGCAAGATCATGGCCAAAGGGGACATCGATCTTGCCGACGCCATCGCAGACGCTACCGCAGCAGAAGCAACCAGGAAGTCGGCCGCTCGAATGCGCCACACCAACGCACCGCTCCGTCAACTTGCGAATGATACCTCGCCTCGCCCCGAGAGGCACTCAACAATGGCGCACCAAGAAGACCTGGAATCCCCATCAGAAAGTGATGAGGAAGAGGTCAACCGACTCCGGTCCGAATGAGACCAACAAAACCAACGATTCCCGCGACAATGCACGGGTTGTGGGGCAAACCACTCACAATCCGATTGCAAATTCCTCGACGCACTCTGCCGTTCCTGTGGAAAAAGAGGCCACATCGCAAAGGTCTGTAGAAGCAAGCGAGGGTCCAGCCCAAAGCGCAGGGAGAATAACTGCAGCCAGTCTACAGGATTCCCTCCTGCGAATCGAAACCGCCAGAACCACCAATGGAACAACCACTCCTACAGAAATAAAGCACCTGCCACTTCAACGAGACAAGAAGAGGCACACCAAACCATTACCATCGGCCACGCTACATCCTTAGATGCAAGAAAGATCCGAGTGAAGGTCGCCATCGAGAACGAACCTTGCGTGATGGAAGTCGACTCGGGGTTGTCTCTCTCGATGGTTTCCTGGAAGACCTTCAAACAACTAATCCCGGTCATCCGTCGTCAGGACCTCAGCCACCAAAGAATTATACTCAAGGATTACCAGGGCAACAGAATCCCGGTCGTCGGTTCCAGCCAAGTCCAAGTCTCCTTCAAGAATCGTATCGCATCACTACCGCTGACCGTCGTCGACTGTGACCGGCCTAGCTTATTAGGCCTACAATGGTTCGCCCCGCTCGGGATCGAGGTAGCCGGCGTCCACCGAGCCGAGAGCAACGACTGGGAGGAGTCTCTCGTCCAAGAATTCCAGGATGTTTTTTCAGAAGAGCTAGGCAAGTACAAGGGGACCCCAATATCGTTTAACCTCAATCCTGAAGTAGCTCCCATCCGCCTTAAGCCTCGTCGGGTGCCTTTTGCACTAAAACCAAAGATCGACGAGCAGCTCGATAAATTAATAGCCCAGGGCGTTTTAGAACCAACCGACCACGGCCGTTGGGAAACCCCAATTGTAACACCCATTAAACCAAATGGATCGTTAAGAATTTGTGGGGATTATCGGGCCACTTTGAACCACGCACTTCAGCAGAGTGCTTACCCGGTGCCGGTGGTTCAACACCTTCTCCACTCCCTGGGTGGTGGGAAGATATTCGCTAAATTGGATTTAGCACAAGCGTACCAACAGTTGCCCGTAGACGTGGAAACTGCTGAAGCACAAACTATCGTTACGCATAGAGGCGCTTTTAAGTGCAATAGACTCCAATTCGGAGTAAGCGTAGCTCCTGGAATTTTTCAAAGTTTAATGGAGAGACTTTTACAAGGCATCAAAGGGGTCGTGCCATATTTTGATGATGTTTTAATCGCCGTCCCTAATAGAGACATCTTAGAAAAGCGTCTCAGAATGGTTCTACGGAAATTTAAAGACGCCGGCCTGAAGGTTAAAAAAAATAAATGTCAACTGTGTACTGAGAGGGTGAAGTTCCTGGGATACCTTCTCGATAGTCAAGGAATCCATCCCACTGATAACAAACTAAAAGCGATTAAAAATGCCCCAACGCCTAAAAATAGAACAGACCTCCAAGCCTTCCTGGGGCTCATTAACTTCTACAACATTTTCTTGCCCCAGAAGGCGACCGTAGCGGAGCCCCTACACAGACTTCTCGATAAAAGAGCAACCTGGGTCTGGGGACATCGAGAGGAACGCGCCTTCCAACAAGTGAAAGACTTACTAACCTCCGACGCTGTTTTGATGCAGTACAACGAGACTCTACCCTTAACTATTACATGCGACGCTTCACCGTTTGGAGTGGGAGCAATCTTAAGCTATGTACTACCAAACGGAAATGAAGCACCTATTGCGTTTTTCTCACGAACATTATCAAGGGCTGAAAGGAACTATAGCCAACTCGATAAAGAGGCCCTTGCTGTTGTATCTGCTGTGAAGCGCTTTCACGAATACGTGTATGGATGAGCATTTACGATAATCACGGATCACAAACCATTGCTTGGTATTATAGCGGGAGACAAGCCAACCCCCTATATTTTATCGCCAAGAATGACTCGTTGGTCTGAGTTCCTAGC